TATACATTACCAAACAATACTATATCTCTTACCTGGGTATCAGAGTCGGCTCGCTCCTGGAGACAAAACTCAGGTAGCCAGGTCAATAGACCGTGGAGGCAGGTCACGCGTTAAGATATGCCAGCGTGCCGTGTGCAAACATCCCAGGAAGAATAAAATGCTGGTTTCACCTGCTGAAAAGTTGACGCGTATTAGCTGTTGCTTGAAGTACCGGTATATTACAGACGGACGGACAGACAGACAGACAGACAGACAGACAGACAGACAGACAATGAATGAATGAATGAATGAATGAATGAATGAATGAATGAATGAATCTGGAATGCAATCACTGGTTTGTCTGATCCATACTATTATTTTCAGGTCGCCGTTATATAACTAGAATATTGCTGACATGGGTATTGGGCAACAATTAATAAACACTTTTACAGAAAGTTTGATTATATTACAACTAAGAGCTCGTGGCTCTTTACGTAGGACCCAAAGGTTGTGGTTGTCCTTAAACTGTGTCACTGGTTTTACTTTGGAAGCCCATTGTCGGTTCTTCATGATGCCGTTTGTAATAAAAGTCCCATCCCTCCTGAATTAAATCATCTCATTGGTGTCTTATCAAAGGCCAGTACATTTTGTGTTCGTGTGAATATACAGTAACTTTGGATCATATACCAAACAGATTTGTAAATACAAAACCTCAATATAATCTCGATTATCCGCCGAAACCGATTCAACTAGGCATACAAGTAAAATAGTGAAAAAGTGAAAATTACATAAATGGATCACTGAAAATCGATGACTTAAGGTGTTCACGAATAGGGCAATCGCATTTTTTTTGCAGTTTAACAGGTTTGGGGCCGGCACACGTAGCGTTCAAATATAAGTTGATTACACGCGTTCGTGTTGCTTACAGAAACATTGCTGCAACACATATATACTAGATGATTTATGAAAGAGTTTTGTATTTGTTTGTTGTTCAACTCAGCAATATGCCAGCTATATGACTGTGCACTGTAAATACCAGTCGGGACCTGACAAACTAATGATTGACATTGTGAGCACCGATCCGGAGTCGCCACGGGACTTTTGTGTACACGCCGCGAGGTTTGTTATTTTTGTATAGTAGTGTAAACAAATTTCACCTGGTCTGTGCTTCTACGGTTAATACATTGTAGCAACGTTACGAGGCACTCGCGACAGCCCCACAGTGCAAGAGCATCATCACTGATGATGTGACCACAGCTTACTTCTCTTGAGGAGAATGCTGCATCTGGGTCACCTTGACCTGTTTGATATTTGCACGGCTGGTAGCGGTGACGCCCTTCGGTTTCTAGGAGACGCGTGTGGCGGAGTGATCTGCTATAGAAATCGTGTATTGTATATACAGTGTTACGTGTTTGGGTTATATTTGGGTCATTTGTGGACGGTGCTATATTATGCAATTAGTCAAGTCTGGCTTTGTTACATATGGATCACAACTTAACCTTTAATACATGCGGGAACGTCATAGTGTTCGTGTATACCTACTGTATGTTTACATGCGGGAACGTCATAGTGTTCGTGTATACCTACTGTATGTTTACATTATGGAACGTCATAGTGTTCGTGTATACCTACTGTATGTTTACATTATGGAATGTCATAGTGTTCGTGTATACCTACTGTATGTTTACATTATGGAATGTCATAGTGTTCATGTATACCTACTGTATGTTTACATTATGGAACGTCATAGTGTTCGTGTATACCTACTGTATGTTTACATTATGGAATGTCATAGTGTTCGTGTATACCTACTGTATGTTTACATTATGGAATGTCATAGTGTTCATGTATACCTACTGTATGTTTACATTATGGAACGTCATAGTGTTCGTGTATACCTACTGTATGTTTACATTATGGAATGTCATAGTGTTCGTGTATACCTACTGTATGTTTACATTATGGAATGTCATAGTGTTCGTGTATACCTACTGTATGTTTACATTATGGAATGTCATAGTGTTCGTGTATACCTACTGTATGTTTACATTATGGAACGTCATAATGTTCGTGTATACCTACTGTATGTTTACATTATGGAACGTCATAGTGTTCGTGTATACCTACTGTATGTTTACATTATGGAACGTCATTGTGTTCGTGTATACCTACTGTATGTTTACATTATGGAACGTCATTGTGTTCGTGTATACCTACTGTATGTTTACATTATGGAACGTCATTGTGTTCGTGTATACCTACTGTATGTTTACATTATGGAATGTCATAGTGTTCGTGTATACCTACTGTATGTTTAATTTATGGAATGTCATTGTGTTCGTGTATACCTACTGTATGTTTACATTATGGAACGTCATTGTGTTCGTGTATACCTACTGTATGTTTACATTATGGAACGTCATGGTGTTCATGTATACCTACTGTATGTTAACGTTATGGAATGTCATAGTGTTCGTGTATACCTACTGTATGTTAACGTTATGGAACGTCATGGGGTTCGTGTATACCTACTGTATGTTTACATTATGGAATGTCATAGTGTTCGTGTATACCTACTGTATGTTTACATTATGGAATGTCATAGTGTTCGTGTATACCTACTGTATGTTTACATTATGGAATGTCATAGTGTTCATGTATACCTACTGTATGTTAACATTATGGAACGTCATAGTGTTCGTGTATACCTACTGTATGTTTACATTATGGAATGTCATAGTGTTCGTGTATACCTACTGTATGTTTACATTATGGAACGTCATAGTGTTCATGTATACCTACTGTATGTTTACATTATGGAATGTCATAGTGTTCGTGTATACCTACTGTATGTTTACATTATGGAATGTCATAGTGTTCATGTATACCTACTGTATGTTTACATTATGGAACGTCATAGTGTTCGTGTATACCTACTGTATGTTTACATTATGGAATGTCATAGTGTTCGTGTATACCTACTGTATGTTTACATTATGGAATATCATAGTGTTCGTGTATACCTACTGTATGTTTACATTATGGAATGTCATAGTGTTCGTGTATACCTACTGTATGTTTACATTATGGAACGTCATAATGTTCGTGTATACCTACTGTATGTTTACATTATGGAACGTCATAGTGTTCGTGTATACCTACTGTATGTTTACATTATGGAACGTCATTGTGTTCGTGTATACCTACTGTATGTTTACATTATGGAATGTCATTGTGTTCGTGTATACCTACTGTATGTTTACATTATGGAACGTCATAGTGTTCGTGTATACCTACTGTATGTTAACATTATGGAACGTCATAGTGTTCGTGTATACCTACTGTATGTTTACATTGTGGAATGTCATAGTGTTCGTGTATACCTACTGTATGTTAACATTATGGAACGTCATAGTGTTCGTGTATACCTACTGTATGTTTACATGCGGGAACGTCATAGTGTTCGTGTATACCTACTGTATGTTTACATGCGGGAACGTCATAGTGTTCGTGTATACCTACTGTATGTTTACATTATGGAATGTCATGGTGTTCGTTTATACCTACTGTATGTTTACATTATGGAATGTCATAGTGTTCGTGTATACGTACTACATGTATACATTATGGAACGTCATAGTGTTCGTGTATACCTACTGTATGTTTACATTATGGAATGTCATAGTGTTCGTGTATACCTACTGTATGTTTACATTATGGAATATCATAGTGTTCGTGTATACCTACTGTATGTTTACATTATGGAATGTCATAGTGTTCGTGTATACCTACTGTATGTTTACATTATGGAACGTCATAATGTTCGTGTATACCTACTGTATGTTTACATTATGGAACGTCATAGTGTTCGTGTATACCTACTGTATGTTTACATTATGGAACGTCATTGTGTTCGTGTATACCTACTGTATGTTTACATTATGGAATGTCATTGTGTTCGTGTATACCTACTGTATGTTTACATTATGGAACGTCATAGTGTTCGTGTATACCTACTGTATGTTAACATTATGGAACGTCATAGTGTTCGTGTATACCTACTGTATGTTTACATTGTGGAATGTCATAGTGTTCGTGTATACCTACTGTATGTTAACATTATGGAACGTCATAGTGTTCGTGTATACCTACTGTATGTTTACATGCGGGAACGTCATAGTGTTCGTGTATACCTACTGTATGTTTACATGCGGGAACGTCATAGTGTTCGTGTATACCTACTGTATGTTTACATTATGGAATGTCATGGTGTTCGTTTATACCTACTGTATGTTTACATTATGGAATGTCATAGTGTTCGTGTATACGTACTACATGTATACATTGTGGAATGTCATAGTGTTCGTGTATACCTACTGTATGTTTACATTATGGTATGTCATAGTGTTCGTGTATACGTACTACATGTATACATTTGGGAATGTTATAGGTGTTCATGTATACGTACTACATGTATACATTATGGAATGTTATAGGTGTCCGAGTATACGTACTACATGTATACATTGTGGAATGTTATAGGTGTTCGTGTATACGTACTATATGTATAGATTGTGGAATGTTATATGTGTTCGTGTATACGTACTACATGTATACATGGTGGAATGTTATAGGTGTTCGTGTATACGTACTACATGTATACATTGTGGAATGTTATAGGTGTGTGTGTATACATGCTACATTTATACATTGAGGAATGTTATAGTGTTCGTTTATACGTACTATATGTATAGATTGTGGAATGTTATAGGTGTTCGTGTATACGTACTACATGTATACATTGTGGAATGTTATAGGTGTTCGTGTATACGTACTACATGTATACATTGGGGAATGTTATAGGTGTTCGTGTATACGTACTATATGTATAGATTGTGGAATGTTATAGGTGTTCGTGTATACGTACTACATGTATACATTGTGGAATGTTATAGGTGTTCGTGTATACGTACTACATGTATACATTGTGGAATGTTATAGGTGTTTGTGTATACATGCTACATTTATACATTGAGGAATGTTATAGTGTTCATGTATACGTACTATAAACATTGTGGATTGTTATAGGTGTTCGTGTATACGTACTATATGTATAGATTGTGGAATGTTATAGTGTTCATGTATACGTACTATATGTATTCTTATATCTATATATTAACTCAATACGCATACAGAGTATTCAGCTGATGAAAGGCAAGAAGTAGCCGTGGGACGTCGTTACAAACAATAAAGAAGTTGTTATTCATAAAACTATTACCAAAGACATGTTACATTTCTACATATTGAACGCAATAATGTACATACAGTATTTATAAACAATGCACAAAAACATAAACAAAAGGTAATTCACTCGCGGAGTTCTATATAAGCCTTAAGTTTCTTTCTTCCTGAGTTGTTGGTAGGAATCATACAGTAGCCACTTCCATGTCGTTCAATACAACACTCTCTCAAGGGATACCACATTGTTAGCATTTCATTATTCAAACAAATTATAAAATAATACACCAGATTTATGAAATCGTTTTATTGTCATTTCTGCAAAACTACACATATTTTTTTCCAAAGAACAAAAAAGAACATGGAAAGACAGATTTTATTATAAAACAATTCAGTCACAATAGTTGACCATCAATTTCATTATATACAAATATCACAAAACAGGTAGATATAGACACAAGTGTACATTCTCATTGATCACACTCCAAACAGAAGAAAACGATAGTACGCACAGTTTCCACCACCACAGGCGTACACTCATGGTATTAAGTAGTCATTCTGTACTTCACATATAATCTTCAACAATTTTATAAAATCATTTGTTATATATTTAAAACAAATCTATGTAAAAACATATTACCTGCTGGTTTTCATGCCTAGGTTATACGACTTGGCTATTTGTTTTTCGGGATATCCTCAATTTTGTTTCGAATAATAAACTGTTATTTTTGGTAATAATTTAACGGTGTTGCTTACTTAGCTGTATAATATTATATAGCAACATAGCTACCCTATTGGTGTTGGGCTCAGACCAGAATGATATCCATAATGCACTGTTCTCACCATGCAGTACCAACAGCTGAATCGTCATCCGCATCTCTCACTTTGGAAAACAATTCCGAAAAACAAATAATTAGTTTGTAATAAAAATACAAAACTCATTGTCTGCATTAGCAGCTACCCATTACCCCCAAGCGCACACACACGCACGCACGCACGCACGCACGCACGCACGCACGCACACACACACACTCCCTATAAGACGCATGTACCTTCCTTTTTACCTCCGGGTAAGAATGTGTATTATGGATCAACAAAAAAGTTGCAAATATTCAAACGTATCTTAACAAGATCTCTAATAACAAAGTTTTCCACTGATTAAAAGAACCAAGAAGTAATTATACACGTATATACGCAAGTCTTTTTTGAATAATTGGAGTGTATAGTGTGGGAAAAGACAACGTCGGGAATAAATTATGCTGAAAACAGATGCGTACATTGGAATATACACTGGTGTTAGTAAAATATAGGTCACGTAGATTTTGCATATACTGCTGGTGTCTATATTCGTAGGGGTAAGATGAGAGTTGATATATTTCAATGCATGGCTGCACCATTTCAGATCATTATCTTAACGATAACATGACAATATAAATGTGGATTTTCATTTTATGACCAATATGCATAAATATATGTAGATATGTTATAGATCTATAACGCATGTATTATTATTGTGAACGTGGCGTTTACACTATCGCCAATACCGATGTTGTCTATGCGAGGGAATTCAGCGTGGCCTTATATGACAAGTTGTATCAATGTTCTGGTCAGACGATGTGTGCATCGGTTTAATCGACATGAATAGGAAATGATGTGACAATCCTATATTGAAATCCCATTGGAAATAAGGCCACGTAAAGGAACGAAGAATCCCGACTTCTAACTGAATTGACGGAATTTTCCCACTATCTGCTGACAGTTGGGGCAGGAGTGGTTCACGTCTTTGCTGGCGTCCACGCAGAAGGGAATGAGGCAACACCCAAGCCAGCACCTGGAAGACAGAGGCAGAGGTTATCTCAAACAGTGGTTCATCAGTTGATGTCTCCGGCTTGTATTTGGACGGTAACACCGGGCACTGTACTCAGTGTCGTGGGAGATCTGTGCTCGTGCGATTTCTGTTCTAGATTGGATAAAATCCTAACTAAAAGAGCCACGGGGCTCTGTAGCTCACTTGAACTATGAAGAATCAATAGGGGATTTAATCAAAGTTGGATGGGAATTCTATGAGCAGTTTTTTGAGTCACCATAGCTCAAAGGAGATGTCGAAAAGGTAATCATTACACAAACAGGAGTATGTGAAGGGCAAAGGTCGTAGTATCTAAAAAATGTATCATATGTTTTACCACATACTGCATAGTTAGTAAGGATAAGAATTTATGGATGAACAACTTCTTTATTACAATTAAGAGCGACATCTCGGTGTAGGTTCTAACACCGTTATCAATTGCAAGCAAGTGACATGCAGAGTGTGGTTGACAAGTATATATACAGGTAGGAGGCAATGTTTGTACAGTGGAGTAGATGTCAGATATAGTTATACTGGAGTAGAGAAGCCTGTTATGTACACACGAGGGTACTGATGGCAATCATCAGTGAAGTCAGTGGCATAAACAAAGGATGAAGCATGTAATGTAAACAACGGGATTATGGCTGATTGGGGTCTTGATGGTCCGCCGGGGGAATGTAATAGCCTTGGTCACGGTTGATTGACGGTTGAAGTCTTTAAATGTTGATGGCTTCTTGCCGTATATTAAATTTCACGATACATGCAGCAAGATTGATTGTTTTCAATATTGCGGCCATGTTTGATGTCGGATCGGAGTTCCGTGAGCGGTATTGAGGGACACCATAGTTGAGATGATTCATACAAAGTTTCAGCTCGATAGACCAGAGGAGATGTCGAAAATGTAAACTTCTGCCGCACGGACAATCGGTGTCACGTGCCACGACATGAGCTCACATGACTTTCAGGCGCTTTCAGGTCTTATATTTAAACCATCCTCGATAAACTCGTGTATTACATCTCCGACCATTCCATGATGTTAAATACCCCGGGACCTATTCGCCACTACAGCTTCATGTCTGCGTCCTATTCGATACAAACGACACAATATACCCTGGATACTGCTTTGTGTCACTCATCACATTACTGGTTTCCATGTTATCAAACAGAGATTATTTACCCAAATAGACAGATGAGTCCGGCAGCAGCCCAGGTGAGAAGGCCAGTCTCATACGTCATAGTTGTGGTCACGGTGGCGTTACAGTGCTGGCAGATGATGAGGGCGGGGGCGGTGCGGTACCGCATGGCGGACCCGGGGACAGGACCGATGCCATAGCCAGGCTGTTGTAACACCACGGCTGGAGCAAAGAAGGGACAGTACTAGATGATCAATGCAAACATTCCATGATTATACGGTTCAGAGCCCTGTTCCACAAAGCGATCGTAGCGCTACTTTAAGATGATTTCCCATTCTTTAACCTTGGCTTACGGCAGTCGTAGCTCTGCGATCTCTTTGTGGAGGGAGTGAGTATCGTTTTACGCCGCTTATAGCAATATTCCAGCAATATCACGGCGGGGGACACCAGAAATGGGCTTCACACGTTGTACCCATGTCGGGAATCGAACCCTGGTCTTCGGCGTGACGAGCGAACGCTTTAACCACTAGGCTACCCGACCGCCCTGGTATAATGAAGTATACAAACTTGTATCAGAGTTTCAGAGTGTTTGAAACTGATATCCTACAGCCAATTCCCTATAACGTGCAGGGGCGTTCGGGTAGCCTCGTGGCTTTAAGCGTGACGAGAAAACGCTTTAACCACTGGACTACCACAGTGGCCCCACATATGCTTGTAAATATATAGGTAAATCCAAACACTAGTATGGACCATATCATACCTATACAATGTATTATTAAGAAATTATGATATCTGATCTGGCCATGCTACAAACATGCCAATAATGTCACAATAAATCCATGAACACACTAAAAAAAATATTTTTTTAAATATAAAATAATAATAATAATAATAATAAATATCATACCTATGGGGTGAGTGAGTGTTGTTTTACGCCATAGTATGTTCCAGATATATCACGAGTATGCCGACAGCTGGTAGCATGAGAAATGTCTTATGTCGAGCCGTGGGGATACGATGCCAAACAACAAAGTCAAATACTGTGACAACACTCCTCATATTGTCATCTCTTTAACACGACATACAATGGGAATGATTTTGACCCGATGCCCAGAGTTGTTATAACTAGGAATGCATCACAGCAACATTTCTCAATACAACTGTTTCTTAAAATTTATGATAATCTAGAGGCATAGACATACTTGTCTGTTGTTGTCCTTGGGGGTAGGCACCGGCCTGGGGGTAGCCTCCAGCTTGGGGGTAAGGTTGTGGTTGGGGTCCCTGGCCGTAGGGCGGGGGAGCTCCTTGGGGGTAGGCAACAGGGGGTGGTTGGTTCATTCCCCCGGGAGTTTTATCGTCTGCCATGACTTAAGTTGGTGAGACCTGCAAGAGACAGAGAAAACAAATGTAATAACTGAAGGCGAACATTGGCGCTCTGCTGTATGTGGTTAAACATGAGCAGTTGATAAGTGATATGGTAACATTCTGGTTTAGCAATACCGACATCATAAGACGAGACAGCATTGTAGTTTGTACTGTAAATTAACCCGACCCGCGAGCTCTATCAGCTCACAATGTTGAGGTAAGGTGAAATGGGGTTTAACGTCTCGTTCAAGATTATTGCACATACATAGCGACGTGTATGCACGTGTGTGTGTGGCTACTTGTACTAGTCAGGACTAATGTCGGTTTTATTGCCCAGTTTAATAAGGACGCCCCACTCAGACACAGTATTCTCAATCCTAGCCGACCGGGCAGGTAGGGTAACAAGTAGCATCTTTTAATATGACGCGAACGGGGTTCGAACAACCGACCTTCCGCTGTCCAGATAAACATTGGGGTTTCATAGTGTGAGCAACGAGCCACGCCGTCGGGGTTACCCAATCAACCAATCACAGCCTGACCGTAGGGGACCTATTCTAACCCAGAATCTCCTGGCGCAACGAAATTACAAACAAATGTACTGCAAACATATTTCAAAAAATTGTTTCAATCGTTTCGTGAAATTAGTATGACACATAATCTCTCCCAATAATCTCTAAATATATTTTTCATTTAATCACTGTACCATCCTCGTAATATATATGTTAATCTCGTTGAACAGTCTGTTACCAGCCCATGCTACATGAGTGTAATCTGACACCCTTGTCAACGACGTACTCGGAGCAATATACACAACAGTACCACTGTAAAAAGGTCATTCGTGACCAACTCGTGTTATTCCGTGACAAGACGTTTTCTTGCAGGTTACGGAAAGGGGCGAGTGGTGACGAATGTGAAAGGTGAATCGTCAGCCTGGGCTCTATTAGTGATCGCCCAACTGTTCTACATACAATGTATATGTATGCTGTATCCACGAAGTCACAGTGTTATTGGTGGGTAAAGCACATACCAATGCTGTATCCATGAAGTCACAGTGTTATTGGTGGGTAAAGCACACACCAATGCTGTATCCATGGAGTCACAGTGTTACTGGTGGGTAAAGCACATACCAATGCTGTATCCATGGAGTCACAGTGTTATTGGTGGGTAAAGCACATACCAATGCTGTATCCATGAAGTCACAGTGTTATTGGTGGGTAAAGCACACACCAATGCTGTATCCATGGAGTCACAGTGTTACTGGTGGGTAAAGCACATACCAATGCTGTATCCATGGAGTCACAGTGTTATTGGTGGGTAAAGCACACAGCAATGCTGTATCCATGGAGTCACAGTGTTATTGGTGGGTAAAGCACATACCAATGCTGTATCCATGGAGTCACAGTGTTATTGGTGGGTAAAGCACACACCAATGCTGTAGCCATGAAGTCACAGTGTTATTGGTGGGTAAAGCGCACACCAATGCTGTATCCATGGAGTCACAGTGTTATTGGTGGGTAAAGCACATACCAATGCTGTAGCCATGAAGTCACAATGTTATTGGTGGGTAAAGCACATACCAATGCTGTATCCATGGAGTCACAGTGTTATTGGTGGGTAAAGCACACACCAATGCTGTAGCCATGAAGTCACAGTGTTATTGGTGGGTAAAGCACATACCAATGCTGTATCCATGAAGTCACAGTGTTAATGGTGGGTAAAGCACACACCAATGCTGTATCCATGGAGTCACAGTGTTATTGGTGGGTAAAGCACATACCAATGCTGTATCCATGGAGTCACAGTGTTATTGGTGGGTAAAGCACACACCAATGCTGTAGCCATGAAGTCACAGTGTTATTGGTGGGTAAAGCACATACCAATGCTGTATCCATGAAGTCACAGTGTTAATGGTGGGTAAAGCACATACCAATGCTATAGCCATGAAGTCACAGTGTTATTGGTGGGTAAAGCACACACCAATGCTGTGGCCATGAAGTCACAGTGTTATTGGTAGGTAAAGCACACACCAATGCTGTATCCATGGAGTCACATTGTTATTGGTGGGTAAAGCACACACCAATGCTGTAGCCATGAAGTCACAGTGTTATTGGTGGGTAAAGCACATACCAATGCTGTATCCATGGAGTCACAGTGTTATTGGTGGGTAAAGCACACACCAATGCTGTAGCCATGAAGTCACAGTGTTATTGGTGGGTAAAGCACATACCAATGCTGTATCCATGGAGTCACAGTGTTAATGGTTTGGTAAAGCACATACCAATGCTGTATCCATGGAGTCACAGTGTTAATGGTTTGGTAAAGCACATACCAATGCTGTATCCATGAAGTCACAGTGTTAATGGTGGGTAAAGCACACACCAATGCTGTATCCATGGAGTCACAGTGTTATTGGTGGGTAAAGCACACACCAATGCTGTGGCCATGAAGTCACAGTGTTAATGGTGGGTAAAGCACACACCAATGCTGTGGCCATGAAGTCACAGTGTTATTGGTAGGTAAAGCACATACCAATGCTGTATCCATGGAGTCACAGTGTTAATGGTAGGTAAAGCACACACCAATGCTGTGGCCATGAAGTCACAGTGTTATTGGTGGGTAAAGCACACACCAATGCTGTAGCCATGGAGTCACAGTGTTATTGGTGGGTAAAGCACATACCAATGCTGTGGCCATGAAGTCACAGTGTTATTGGTGGGTAAAGCACACACCAATGCTGTATCCATGGAGTCACAGTGTTATTGGTGGGTAAAGCACACACCAATGCTGTGGCCATGAAGTCACAGTGTTATTGGTGGGTAAAGCACACACCAATGCTGTATCCATGGAGTCACAGTGTTATTGGTGGGTAAAGCACACACCAATGCTGTAGCCATGAAGTCACAGTGTTATTGGTGGGTAAAGCACACACCAATGCTGTATCCATGAAGTCACAGTGTTATTGGTGGGTAAAGCACACACCAATGCTGTAGCCATGGAGTCACAGTGTTATTGGTGGGTAAAGCACATACCAATGCTGTATCCATGAAGTCACAGTGTTAATGGTGGGTAAAGCACATACCAATGCTATAGCCATGAAGTCACAGTGTTATTGGTGGGTAAAGCACACACCAATGCTGTGGCCATGAAGTCACAGTGTCATTGGTAGGTAAAGCACACACCAATGCTGTATCCATGGAGTCACAGTGATATTGGTGGGTAAAGCATATACCAATGCTGTATCCATGGAGTCAAAGTGTTATTGGTTGGTAAAGCACACACCAATGCTGGGAGGGAATTTTCATAAATGATTATTTGGTTCATAAATATGCCCAAATGCATAGTTTGTTGTCAGTATGTTGAATATAGATGAGGAAAAAATAGATTGTTCCAAAACCCCAACAGCCTTATAAAATCAAATAGATGTAATCATGATATGTGTTCTCAAGACATTAAAATTATTAATAACTATTGCTATATGTGATTACTGATATTATTAATTACATTAATATCATGAATTGGAGTAATGATATCATAATTTGCATTAATTTGACAGTAATTGAATAGCATTAATCATTAATGATCATTATTATGTTTTATCATTAATCCATTGTTAAGTACTCATATAAATTGACAATAATGTGTGTATATAACACACACGCACGCACACACACACACATACACACACACACACACACACACACATTCAGGTAGGCGGGGTTTTTCATGGTGAAGATAAGAACCAGACTCCTTTATTTATAGACTGACATTATTGTACACTACCATACAAAAATAACATCTCAAGCGACGCGAACAGAACAACAACGTGGGGATTCCGGACCGTTGCTCATAATGTCAATCACTAGTTTCTCTGCTCCAAACTCGATATATCAACAGGACACCGCCATATAGCTGGAATGTTGCTAAGTGCGGCTTTAAACAACGAACAAGCAATATTTTTGGCGAGTCGGATCATCCGAAGATAACTCAGAAACAAGTAGTCCCGAGTCAGCACAGGTTGGGCACGCCGTATGGCACGAGGCCACCCACAGATATAGGTTCCATTGAATATGTTGGCGTCACCAGGTAATAGTCTACTTAAACTTACATTTAGCAGCCACCTTAACAACCCAATTCTAATTTCAAATATCATGTTCTGAACAAAATTCCTGACAAAGACAGAGCCAAAGAAATTCCTCACAACCATATCCTAGCTTACTCGCAGATAAACACCGTGAGAATAATTCAATTAGTTCACAGCTCGATCAGGATGACTAGTTGTTACAGATTGTACAAGGTCAGACTGGCGGCGTCTGGCCCAAGTGAAAGGCCACTTGTTCGAGATGTGTTATACGCTGATGTATGTCAGGAATGTCTGGAGAGATTGAGCCGGCAGAGCCACAACATGCTCCCAGTGGGACGGTGTATCAGCAGAATTTCCAGATGTACCAGTATATAACTGGATGAATTGGTCCTCATATTATATAGGAACATACGTATGCAGTACAGGTTCTTTCAACGAAGTTCATAAATATTATATAATGTTTACATAGTAATTGTTTTTTAGATATACACATTTCCCAGTATGGTGCACATATAGGAATATGGAGATAGAACGACAAAAACATCCCCTTTATATAAACAAACATCGAGATAACGTTTGTAGTGAAATGCTTCGTGTTGGTAGAAACAGCGTGAAGCCAGTGGGGTCTGGGTTGGAATTGTATGGTCGTTAGAGGCACTTAAAGTGGTCTGGCTGGCCAACTTGGCTGATTATTTACAGGACGCCGTCATACAGCTGGAGTATTGAAACGTTAGACAACAAACAAAACAAATCTGACGTTACCGAGGTCAAGATGCATACACCACCATCCTCACACTAGATCCCACGGCCTAGTTTACAAGGCCATTCGTGGCAAGCCGTGTTGCACTGTTGTATGCTACACCACCACTTGCAAGATCATAATTCAACTAGGTCACTGTGACCTAGCGGGGTCGCGTAGTGAGTCTGTAATGACGTC